TAGAAGAGGGCTACTTGAGTTAATTGTCAGATCTGTTACTCCGTTTAGCACTTTTGTCATTTTTGCCATGATTAATGTGTGCATGCTATGGCCGTGAGTTCTTCATATGTTTTGCTAAGGGTTTTGTCATCTATCCAGAGGTGCAACCCATGTATTTTTAGGAGGTGTGTGGTGACTTGTGCAAGCTTGCAAAGTGGTGCACTTGCTAATTCTGTTTTCAGGGACTTAGTAATTTCACTAAGTCCTGGGATTGTTTAGTTCATGATGCCATATGTTCATGTTCTTTCCTAGTGATCCGTGCCTCTTTTGAGGATGATCAGTAAGGGGGTTTTGTTAATCTTGTAGTGCTCTATCCATCCATGTCTTTGTTTGCAATTATGGAGCACCCTAGCTTGAGTCAATCGAGCTCTACTTTTGCTTCGTTGCGAATCTGGGCAGAGCGTCAACTTGTTTGCGATTTTGCCGATGCTATTGTAGTTGATCCGTGCATGCTATGCCATTGTTCTTGCCATGTCTAGCTTGCATTTTGTGCCTTATTAAGGGATGTATACTTGTCTTTCCATGACTTGCTCTGTAGTGAGTGCATCGAGCTCGTAAACATGCCTTCGTGAGTTATGTTTCAGCATGTCCCAGTTTTTCACTAAGTCTGAAACTGATTATGTTTTTGCTATGTTCGTGTGCTTGTTAGTATATTTTGTGATCCCTTTTGGCTCAAGGTCACTAAGGGACTTTTGTTAAGCTTGTTGAGTAGCTCCATTCCATGTCTTTCTTTACCATGTTCAGGTCCTGTAGCTTGTTGTTTTGTTGCTCCGAAGAGGGCTATATGATCTGAAATTCCAGACAAGTGTTAATTTCACTAAGTCTGAGATCTGTTTTACCATTTGCGTTTTTGCCATGCTTGTTTGAACCTGTTAATGGATGATTTGGCCGTAGCTCAGTGCTAGACTTTTGTTAAGCATCTTGTGTGCATCTCTGCCATGTATTTTGTTGTCATGTTTGGATGCTGTAGCATGTTCATCTTATTGCATTTAGATGCCTACTTGCTGTAAATCGCAGACCGGTGTCATTTTTGAATCGCTTGCCATTTCCAAACCGTAACTCCGATTCCGGCGTTCTTTATATCGTTTTCAAGCGATTTCATCTCATCTTTCCAGTGGCACCCTTGGAATTCCAAGTTGAGGCAAGCTTCATGCATTTCCTGTCATATCTTGCATTTTGCATCCCGCATCGCATCCCGCATAGCATATCATCGTTGCATCGTGTTGATTGAGTTTGCACGTGGTTGATTGTATCCTTGTTGCTTGTTTGTCTTGTTTGGATAGAGCCGGGAGACGAGTTTGCTAATGAGGAGCCCGTTGAGATTGCTTTCGAGGATCCAGTCAACTCTAACAACTGTGCAGGCAAGATGATCATACCCTCGATATCACTACTATCTTTGCTATGCTAGTTTGCTCGCTCTTTTGCTATGCCATTGCTACGATGCCTACCACTTGCTTGCAAGCCTCCCAAATTGCCATGTGAAACCTCTAACCCACCATTGTCCTAGCAAACCGTTGATTGGCTATGTTACCGTGTTGCTCAGCCCCTCTTATAGCGTTGCTAGTTGCAGGTGAAGATTGGAGGCCTTTCCTTGTTGGAACATTTATATATTTGTTGGGATATCATTATATTGCTATGTTATCTTAATGCATCTATACACTTGGTAAAGGGTGGAAGGCTCGGCCTCTCGCCTAGTGTTTTGTTCCACTCTTGCCGCCCTAGTTTCCGTCATATCGGTGTTATGTTCCCGGATTTTTGTGTTCCTTACGCGGTTGATTTATAATGGGAACCCCTTGATAGTTCGCCTTGATTAAAGCTTTTCCAGCAATGCCCAACCTTGGTCTTACCATTTGTCACCTAGCCTCTTTCCCTCGGGTTTCCGGAGCCCGCGGGTCATCTTATTTTACCCCCTCAGGCCAGTGCTCCTCTGAGTGTTGGTCCAAACTAGAGTCCTGTGAAGCGCCCCCTCGGGGAAACTCGAGGTTTGGTTTTAGTTGTATGGAGCGCTCATCTGAGTGTGCCCTGAGAAAGAGATATGTGCAGCTCCTATCGGGATTTGTCGGCACATTCGGGCGGTGTTGCTGGTCTTGTTTTAACCTGTCGAAGTGTCTTGAATTACCGAGATACCGAGTCTGATCGGAACGTCTTGGGAGGAGGTCTATTCCTTCGTTGACCGTGAGAGCTTGTCATGGGCTAAGTTGGGACTCCCCTGCAGGGATTGAACTTTTGAAAGCCGTGCCCGCGGTTATGGGCAGATGGGAATTTGTTAATGTCCGGTTGTAGATAACTTGAACCTTAACTTAATTAAAATGAATCAACTGAGTGTGTTACCGTGATGGCCTCTTCTCGGCGGAGTCCGGGAAGTGGACACGGCGTTGGAGTAATGTTTGCGCAGGTTGTTCTCTAGCTTCTCGCTCGTGCTTTGCCTCCTCTTCTCGCTCTCTTTTGCGAATAAGTTAGCCACCATATTTGCTAGTCGCTTGCAGCAGCTCCACTCATATTTAACCTCTTGCCATTCCTATAAGCTTAAATAGTCTTGATCGCGAGGGTACGAGATTGCTAAGTCCCTGTGGCTCACATATTACTATTACACCAGATGCAGGGCCTGATGATTCCGCTCCAGGAGACGCGTATGAGCTCAAGTGGGAGTTCGACGAAGACTCTCAACGATACTACGTTTCCTTTCCCGATGATTAGTAGTGGTGTCCAGTTGGGGGTGATTGGGACCGTGTCACAGGTTGGGTTCTCTTTTATTTTGGCGCCGTAGTCGGGCCATGAGTGTTTGGATGATGTAATGTTATTTATGTACTTGATTGACGTGGCGAGTGTAAGCCAACTATGTTATCTCCCCTTTATTATTTACATTACATGGGATGTTGTGAAGATTGCCTAACTTGCGACATATGCCTTCAATGCGATTATGTCTCTAAGTCGTGCCTCGACACGTGGGAGCTATAGTCGCATCGAGGGTGTTACACTTCATGTGCAATATTTTACATTCCACTGCTATACTCTTAGACTTGCATGTGTAGATTGATTGCTTGACTTGTGCTAAGTTGTTAAAATCTGCTAAGACTTAAAATTAGGAAAATGCTAGATTTTTATTTGGTCAAGTAGTCTAATCACCCCTCTCTAGACATACTTTCGATCCTACATCCCCTTCCACCACAGACCCCACCCTTCTCGTCGTCTTTGCGAACCACCATCACGTGCTCTTCACCGCCCTAAGTGAACCTAAACCATTGAGATGTCCATGAAATCTAGAAAACAAGGTTGCAAAGAAATTAAAGGTAAGTAGGTCAGTATAATTAGTAAAGAGAACAATTCAGTTATATATTTTCTAAAGGTCCATATTTTAGACGGTGTATAAATTAGGTTTGTCTCACGATTGTCCATGTTCTACTTATGGTTGAGAAGATGTGTTTGGCCAAAAATTCCACGGGCCAAAAGTGTTAATTTATTTGAAGACACACGTCATAGAAACTTCAATACCTGTGAACTCAACTGCACACATTAAAAACTTAGATACCACGGAGGAGGATGCCAGGACCATCAAGTCTAAGCATGACTTGAGTGCTTGACCTTGTTCTCTTGATTGCTGCATGCCACAACTATTATCTCGAATTGGTGCAAACAGAAGCATGCACTCATTAGCCTATTGAAGAAAAATTAAAATATTAAATCAAAGAGCAATCCGTCAATAACTGTACATGGATGTGCATATGATAAAACGCATTCCCAATCTCTCTTTCGTAAAGATCACTAGCAACAACCAGGAGCAGCAGCGTCGCCCCTCTCAAATTTTCTGTCAAATGGAGTGCTTCATTCAACCTTTTTTTCACTATAAGCATATCATTCCTTGAAACCCGCCTTAATTGCCCATCTTTATTGATTTACCGAATAAAATTATGTTATCTTTGGTAAGATAATAAGTGATTACAAAATAAAATCCTAAAATATGGGCATGTAAATCATGAACATGATTTGGTAAACATTTATTTACAGAATCACATCAATATATACCGGTAGATCACGGGTTAAAATACTAGAATATTTGATCCGTTGCAACGCACGGACAATTAACTAGTAAGACTAAAATATCAATTATCTTTACCCGCAAAAAAATCAATTATCTTTGAAGAAAATTCAATTCAAACTTCAGAAAATACATGTCGTAACTTTTGAGGCCAACTTCACGGCGTGACCCATTTCTACCCTAAATGGTCCGTTTGTGTCCGTTTGAGATAAAACGAATAAATCAAACGACCCAACGCATGGGAGCATACAGACGTTTTGTCCGGTCCGTGTCCGCTTTTGCCCCATTTCCAGACCAAAGTTGCTCTGGGTTTGGGGCCAAAGCAGACAGAAAGCGGACGCCTTTGCGTCCTCGTCGTTCGCCTGTGTCCGCCTCGACCCTACATGTCACTCTCTCCTTTTCTGTACCTGGTCCACCATGTGCACCCACGCCCACGACGTATGGGGTGAAAATGGGGTAGTAGCACTGCGTGCAACGAGTTTGTGCGGCCTCTGTCCGCCGTTCGTTCTCCCTATTTCTACCCCATACGGACAAAATCCGGACAAAATGAGTATAGATTTAGGGTCATGCGGTGGAGTTGGCCTGACCTAAGGGTTACACGTTGCATATGGAATCCCCAAAGAAAAAACCTGGGTGCTTTCCTTGCTAAAAACAAAAGGAACCCGCGAGTTGCTGGCCCACGGTCTTTCTCCAAACCACCCAACTCGCACCTACTCCTCTGACCCCCGGGCCCCACACCGCGCTGTCCCAGGTGTCATTCTAACGCATCTCCTCCTATTAATCCCCGTCTCAGCGGCGCGGTGGCCGCCACGTCACCAGTCGATCCCTTCCTTCTGCGGGTGCGCGTCGAGATCCGTTAACAGGCGCCCCCCCTCCGGCTCCGGCGACAGAGAGGGAGGCCACCGACGGCGGCCGGCGACCGAAGATGTTCCTTGTGGACTGGTTCTACGGGGTGCTCGCGTCGCTCGGACTCTGGCAGAAGGAGGCCAAGATCCTCTTCCTCGGCCTCGACAACGCCGGCAAGACCACGCTCCTCCACATGCTCAAGGACGAGGTAGGGAAAAGAACTTCCGCCCTTTCCTTATTACTTATGTTCCTTATATGATGGATTAGTCGTTTTTCGTGCAATAAGGTTTGGTAGTTTGACGAGGTTGGAGGAATTGTGATAGTTCTTGGATCGGGATGATCCGTGTGGTTTTAGGAGTAATTGATTGATCCCTTCCCCTAATATATATGTTCACGCATAGTATCTGTATTTTTAAATGAAGTATTTTGATTCTATTCGGATTTTAGATTTGGAGACATCTGTGCCAGTAGATGTTCATCTTAGCGGTGAGAGTTCTTGGGGATTTTCTTTATAGACCATTTTCAAACGAACCGTGGAATTTTCACGGTGCGTTGCCAAAAAAATTCCATATTCTTTAGATTCGGGTGGCTTCGATCGTATGTGGTAAAAGGGGTTCCCAATTTGGGAGTAGTTGGTGGATTAGCACCCTGAGTCTTTGTTTCCTGTCGAGGATAGTAGTGGACAGATTTCATTTTGGTAGCCGAGCTGCGTTCTTTCTTTGAGCACTGGATTGCTTGCCAGATCTGGAAAACTCCCATATAGCACCTTATAAGATTTTGCTTCTTCCAGTAATCCGTGCGTAAAAAGATTCCATGTTGATTTCTTCAATGCTACCATGCCTTTTTTCTTAGAAAAGGACCGGCCGTCCTGGGTACTAGCTACCATGTAATTCAGGGGCATGCAAGTCAGATCTGCTGCAAATGCTTTTTCAGAGAGTTTAGATTTTATTTTAAAGTCAGTAAGTTTGCACACTTATCGATAAAGGGGGGGGGATCTTTTTACTATCCGACCTGGTTTGGTAATCAGTCTTTTAAGTTACTCATGACGATTATGCTCAGAAGCTGTACATAATCAAGTTCAACATGGAAAGTGCATGCCAAATCACATGTTTGTCCTCCTTTTGGCTGAATAAAATCTTACTTGGGTTTGTGTTCCTTCTGGCAGAGGTTGGTTCAGCATCAGCCTACACAGTATCCAACTTCTGAAGAGCTGAGCATCGGGAAGATCAAGTTCAAGGCATTTGATTTAGGAGGCCATCAGATTGCTCGCCGTGTGTGGAAGGATTACTATGCCAAGGTCTCATCTTCCTCTATCTTATTACTCTCTTTACTATACATGAGTTATTTGGTGCTGTTATATCTGTTTAATGCATTTCTTCTCCTGTGGTGTAGTTTCTAGAAATATTGTGCTGTTGTTTGATATGTTTTTCTTTCCATATGAAATACAGATTATAGATACAGTATGACAGTAGCCCTAAAAGTTCTATTAAATGTCATTATCAGTGGATAGTAGTGGTTGGCACGGATGCACTAGAATATGTCCTAACTTTTGTCCCCACATGTAACACCAGCTGTGCGTTGAGAAATATTTATCAAGTTGTTGGCCGGTGGGGTTAGTGCATTTTGAACCACAATCAGCCGACTCCAGTACTCCTATATGCTGTCCCACTCCCACCATTATGTAGCTATCAAGATCCATGATATAACACCAGTGATATATGTGCAATGTGGCAATCTAGTTGCTTACGTAAAGTGGGAATATGCTTTCATATTAGTCTGTGTGCACAATAATCTATTGAAATACCAGTGGTTTTCCTTTTACCCCCTTTGAATGTATATTAGCATAAATGCTGCTGTGACTTTTGTTCTTATCTACTTTAGATGTTGCTTCTACCCCAAAATGGTTTCGTACAATATTACGAGGTAGCAAGTCATTTTGGCATGTTGGATTAAGCGGTGTATGACCATAGTGAAAGAGTTATATTCATCAGAGTGTTGCAGCAGGATCAATTTGGTGACACAATCGAACTCTGGGAGTCTTAAGTGATCTAGTCCCAGATGATGAAATGTTAGCATAAACATTTACATTAATACTGTAGAGTGTGCAGCAGGATCAGTTTGAGGATACAATCGGGCTCCGAGATTTTGTGTAACTAAATTTGCCAAACCATGAAATATTAGGTTTGGTGGAACAAAGGGGGACATAAGAATATCTCTGGTGCTGGCAAAGGGGCCAGATCCAGAAGGGTTAAATTGGTTTTACAATGGACACTTGGATAGGGCTGCAATTACTAAGAGGGAGATAAGAACGGTTTTGGGGTAGAATAAGTTCATAGTTGAAACAGCAAATGGATACATGTATAGTATCAGATAAACTCAGCAACCAACCTGGCTGGGCAAGACTTTAGCAGGAATATCATTAGGAACGCCCTGAATAATAAGGATTTATTTTGTAATGAAATTGTTTTGTAATACTGTAGCACCGAACTCTTGAATTTGCATCTTGCGGCCAAGAAGGCTTAACTGCTTAATCATAGCTTTTGGTGCATTATGCGTATACTCATGTTGTCTGCATGCATGGCGGTCTCTGTTACTCCTGATGATGTTGTTCTGACTTAGTAGTGTACTTTTCTGTCATTCTGAGTACTGGGCGCGGCAACGATCCTGGACTTCATCTGTTTGATGCCATCTTCTGATTGTCATGTGGTCAGGTTGATGCAGTGGTGTACCTCGTGGACGCCTATGACAAAGAGAGGTTTGCCGAATCCAAGAAGGAGCTCGACGCCCTCCTCTCAGACGATTCGCTGGCCACCGTCCCCTTCCTGATCCTGGGCAACAAGATCGACATCCCCTATGCCGCCTCAGAGGAAGAGCTCCGCTACCACCTGGGTCTTAGCAACTTCACGACTGGCAAGGGCAAGGTGAGCCTCAGCGAGTCCAATGTCCGCCCCCTGGAGGTCTTCATGTGCAGCATCGTCCGCAAGATGGGCTATGGCGAAGGGTTCAAGTGGATGTCGCAGTATATCAAGTAGGTCAGGCAGGGGGGAGTGGTGAAAGAAAAAAAAAAGAGTTATAAGTAGTCATGGTGATAATCTTGTTTTACCTTACCTTGCCACCAGAGTGTTAGGGAGCTAGCTGGTCATGGTGCCAGTACATATGTGATGTAATGGATGTAGTTCAAAGTCTGGGGACTCCGTCCTAGATTTTTTTTGGTTGAGTTATTACAACAATGTGATGTCTGAAAAGGTGATATGCTTTGAACTCCATTGCTGGTGCTCCATGGTATTCTGAATGATGGTCATAGCAGCCTCGTGCATCCAGATTTGCTGTTCTATGTGTTTTTGCTATTCTCTGAAGCTGATGCGCACCAGCAGCTGGTGCGCTGACACAACTTTCATCAGTATTTAGTCAATTTGAGGGTTGTCATCTATTTTCTTGGCCCCTACAAATGAACAGTTGCAGTTCAGTATCTAATTTGCAGATATTCTGCTTGCGTTTTACTCGTGGTTGACTCGCCGGCATCTTTGAAACTCTACCATATTCGATGGTTTTATTCTTGGACTTGCTCATAAATTCTGATTCTGCTGAGAATAATTGCAATAAACCATTATTGTCCTGTTTTAAAATCCAAAATTGACCTTGCAACCAAAAGAGGGAAATGCTAAAGAATTTAAGCATGGCAAAATAGATTTTTTTATGACAAATTATGTTGTCTCAAGGATAAAATGGGGAAGGCGATGGTCCTAGACTGTATCCCCATTGAGGTGTGGGAAAGTCTCGAAGACATAGCGATAGTATGGCTAACTAAGATTTTCAACATTATGTTTCGTCAAATAAGATGCCCACAAAATGGAGACGAAATATATTAGTATCATGGAATTAAGCTGATGAGCCATCCGAAGAAGCTATGAGAAAGAAACATTGAGCATCGCTTAAGAATAATGACAAGCGTGATCAAAACTCAGTTTGGTTTTATGCCTGATACAACAACTTATGAAATGATAGAGGAAAATAAGAACTTCAATGTGAGACGTGGAGTATGTACACTGAGTTCAAATGCTCCCAGATGAACAATAACTTTTCTTAGTAAAAAAAATCTGATTTTTTTGGTAAACTTAACATATGTTTTGTATGCTTGCAAAATTCAGAACCAAATGACATTTGTGAAAGTCGTGGCAAAAAAAATCAATATTTTGAAAATGCTAGTTTTGAAAACATTTTGGAGTCTCAGTTTTTTTTGCCACACCTTCCACGAATGTCATTTCGTTCTAAAGTTTTACAAGCATACAAAACATTTGCGAAAGTTTACCATAAATTGTTTTAGATTTTTTAGAATTATTTACTATTTTTCCAACTTTATTGTTCATCGGAGAGCATTTGAGCTCGGGGTTACAATAAAACTTTCGTTTAATATAGTGTTAATTGACCTGAAGAAGACCCACAATAAAATACCACAAAATGTCATGTGATAGGCCGTGAAGAAGCATATCCAACAAAACAGACTTGGCCAAATGGGCTGACCAGACACGGCTCGGCCAGGGTTATACATGCCCGAGATGGCATGGCCCATCTAGGCACGACAAGTACACGGGGCTTGTTGGGCCGACACGCATGCTACCCTCCATGGCCTAGGAACGACCCCTATGTTACACTAGCCGACACGCCAGCCCATGTAAAATTCAGCCTATTGGCTATTTTGGACCTATATTAATGTAACGCCCCGAGACCGATGTGCCAAGTGTCCTCCAGTTATTCGCTGTTGTTGCCGTGTCATTGCTTGCGTTTCATGCATTGCATATCATGTCATCATGTGCATTTCATTTGCATACATGTTTGTCTCATACATCCGAGCACTTTTCCCGTTGTCCGTTTTGCAATCCGGCGCTCCTATGTCACCCGGTGTCCCTTTCTACCTCTTTTCGTGTGCGGACGTTAAACATTTTCGGATTGGACCGAGACTTGTCATGCGGCCTTGGTTTACTACCGGTAGACCGTCTATCAAGTTTCGTGCCATTTGGACTTCGTTTGATACTCCAACGGTTAACCGAGGGACCGAAACGGCCTCGTGAGTGTTGCAGCCCAACACCCTTCCAAAGTGGCCCAAACCACACCTAAACCTCCTCCATCATCTCGGTCGTTCAATCACGATCGCGTGGCCGAAAACCGCACCTCATTTGGACTCTCCTATCTCCCTCTACCTATAAATATGTGCATCTCCCCGAAATTTCGGATGAAACCCTAGTCTTCTTCCACCTCCTGCCGCCGGACATGTCCATCCCGAGTCGGATGTGTCCGCATCGCCGCGCCGGACCAATCACGTCGCGCCAAGTGTCCTCGCCGCCGCCGTTTCAACCGCGTCCCGCCGCCGGCCCGCGCGGCCCGGATCGGGCCCGCGCGGCCCAACCACCGCCGCCGCCACCTGCGGGGGAGCCCACGCCCGCCGATCCGAGTGCGCCGTCCGCGCCCACCGGCCGCCGCCTCCGTCGCCGGCGCGCCACCGCGTCCCCGCCGCCTGCACCTTCGCCGCCCTCGCCGGTCACCGGCGCAGGCGCCCGCCGCCGCCCGGATCTGCACCGCCGCGCCGCCATAGATCCGTTCCAGCCCCGCCGCCTCGCTCTCTGTTCCGCGCCGCCACCGACCTTCACCGGAGTTCGCGCCGGCCACCGCGCCCTTCGTCGCCGGCCACCGCGCCCTTCGTCGCCGGCCGCCCCGCTCGCTCGTCGCCTCGCCTGCGCCACCGCCAAGCTTCCTCGCCGCCGCCTTTCGCCAGCCACCGCACTGCCCGGTCGTCCCCGACCTCCTTGCGCCGCCTCGCGCCCTCCTCCGTCCTCTCCGGCGATCGTCGGAGCCTAGAGCTCGCCGGAGTCGGGGTGGAACCGGATCTGGTGAGGGTGGACTAGATCCACCACTCCCCGAACCAAACACCCGTCTCGGATCCGCACCGCGCCGTCCTGCTTCATCCGGTCCCGCGTTGACTTTTTCCCGAAGGTCCAAATTTCACTAAGTCCCCCCAGATTCTAGTATTTTTGGGCATTTTCATTGCATCATAACTCATTATCCGTGGCTCCGTTTTGAGCGGGTAGCATATCGAAATGTCCGTCTCAACGAGTACATCATTTCGTCTCATTGCATCATTTTTATTTGAGCTCATCTTGACGCCTGAAATGTCATTGGAAGAGGGCTATGCGAGTAATTTGTCAGATCTATTTCTTCAATTAGCTTTTTGTCATTTTTGCCATGTTTAATGTGTGCATGATATGATCCTGAGCTCTACATGTGTTTTGTTATATGCCATGCCATCTTTGCAGAGGTGCTTGCCATGTATTTTTGTGATAATTGTGGTGACTAGCACAAGCTTGCAAAGTAGCGTAATCGGTTATGCTGATTTCATAGACTTAGAATTTCACTAAGTCCTTGTCCTGATTTTGTCGTTATGCCATATGTTCATGTTGTTTCCTAGTGATCCGTGCCTCTTTTGAGGATGATCAGTAAGGATGTTTTGTTAATATTGTGGTGCTCTATCCATCCATGTCTTTGTTTGCATTTATGGAGCACCCTACCTTGAGTCAATCGAGCTCTACTTTGGCTATATCGTGAATCCTGGCAGATTGTTGACTTGTTAGTGATTTTGCCAAGGATGTTGCTATTGATCGTGCATGCTATGTTGTTGTTCTTGCCATGTCTAGCTTCTATGCCATGTATTCTTGATGGGTGTATGCTTAGTTTGTCATGCCATGCTCTGTAGTGAGTGCATCGAGCTCGTAAACATGCCTACTCATTAACTGATTTGCACGCTCCAGTTTTTTACTAAGTCTGAGATCTGTTTATGTTTTTGCCATGTTCACATGCTTGCAATTGTATTTTCCGATCCCTTTTGGCTCAAGGTCACTAAGGGACTTTTGTTAAGTGCTTTGAGTACCTTCATTCCATGCCTTGCTTTGCCATGTTAAGTTCCTGTAGCATGTAGTTTTCATGCTCTAAAGTGTGCTTCCTGATGTTAAATTCCAGACTTGTGTTAATTTCACAAAGTCTGAAACCTGTTGCCATTTGCACTTTTGCCATACTTGTTTGAACCTGTTAATGGATGAATTAGCCGTAGCTCAGTGTTCATCTTTTGTCAAGCATCTTGAGTGGATCCCTGCCATGTATTTTTTTGCCATGTTTGAGTGCTGTAGCATATTTAACTTGTTGCATTTAGATGGCTACTTGCTGATTATCGCAGACCGGTGCCATATTTGTTTTTGCTTGCCATTTCCAAACCGTGCATCCGATTCCGGTCATCTTTATATCGATTTCAACCGAAATCACCTCACCTTTCCAGTGGCACTCTTGAATTTCCAAGTTGAGGCCAGATTCAATCATTTCTTTGCAAATCATGCATATGCATCACATACCGCATCCCGCATATCATACCATGTTCGTGTGTTGGTTGTTTACTATGTGGTGTGCTTCTTTCCGGTGTTGCTTCTTCGGGTTGGTTCCGATAACGTCGCGTTTGTGAGGACCCGTTCGACTATGTCCGTTTGTCTTCTTCATGGACTCGTTCTTTTTCCTTGCGGGATTTCAGGCAAGATGACCATACCCTCGAAATCACTTCTATCTTTGCTTGCTAGTTGCTCGCTCTTTTGCTATGCCTATGCTGCGATACCTACCACTTGCTTATCATGCCTCCCATATTGTTGAGCCAAGCCTCTAACCCACCTTGTCCTAGCAAACCGTTGTTTGACTATGTTACCGCTTTGCTCAGCCCCTCTTATAGCGTTGTTAGTTGCAGGTGAAAATTGAAGTTTTGTAGCGACCCGACCCAAATGGATCAAGTCTCTGTGCTTAAGTGTCATCCCTAGATCGGTATGCTGACACACACAGCACTCGAGGATTTATAACAGAGGTAAATCACATGTATAAGTAATGTAAATACTATTACCTAAATCCAAATAGCGGAAGTAACAAGGTTGTGGATTCCCATCAACACCAACGGCAAAGTTGAGTGTAGAAATCGTAACCCTAACGTATCACTTACTCGTCGTAAGAA